AAGAAACTTTCGTAAAAAATACAGTTGAGTTGTGAAAAATCTAGAGACGACAAAAAACAAGGCTTTCGAACTCACGCCGTAAGTTTCAATAATCGGCCCGCAGGTGGATGATGACCTTCGGGTGACGTAATGAGCCAAACTAGTCTGCAAAACATTCGTATGTTTGTTGCGGAACGAACTACCACACAGCAAACACGTTGTTCAACATCCTGCTGAATGTTGGAGTCCCGTAAGTAAAAGCTCCCACCATCGCCAAGATACCGATAGAGGGTCCTTTGTCTCCGGGTGCGCTATTTCAACTTCAGAGAACCTCTGTAAGGTCAAAGTTTACAATACAACCCCCTTAAACTGACGGGTATTATTTGGTAAACAGAGCTTCCTGCCGGGTCCTCATTGAGCTTTAATGGGGTGTTTAAAAAGAAGAAGCCGCATGATCATGATTCATTAATCTTCCCGGTGGCAGCGGACCCGGGGTCAATTCATCGGAGCACAAGCGCGACGAGGCCGAGGCCCCGATAAAAAAAAAAAAAAAAAAAAAAAAAAAAAAAAAACCGATTGAAAAGTGTAAAATTGAAACCGCGATACTCGAGGATTGTAACCTAATAAGCGTAAAAAGAGAGAAAAAAAGGGGGAATTCGGATTTCGGGGAGGACGCGTGTCGCCGCTCGGCGCACGTGGCCGCGAGTGGCAAGTTTTCCGGTGTCGGGACCCGGACCACCCTGCGGAGCGCCCCCGCCCCCCGCCCGCGACCCGACAATGAAGTGCCACCCTCATTGCCCCATTATGAGCGTGTCATTTACTCCCGTACAAACTTTGACCTCCCTCCCGGTGACGCGATCCAGCTTGTCGCTACAGCCCTCTCCGCCACCCCGTCTCCTCCTCCTTCGTTTGTTTGCCAACGCTGATTTAGTTGTCACTTTAGCCCGATCGTTCGCACGCACCGCTCGTCGTGCTTTCCGACAAATCGATCGATCTGTCGATTGAACCTATGGGAGAAGATCGATTAGCCCTCTATGGTATATTGTTATAAATTCGTAACAACGTATTTTCGTGGTTTTTAAAAATTGAATCTTTCCCCTGTGCCATGATTTTGCATTTCACTAGTTTTTTCCTTTTCTTGGAAAATTGATTCCCTTAACTTTAACATTTTGAAAAGAATATTTGGTACTCTATTTTTTTTGCAAGCTACAAAATAGATTAGTGTCCCCTAGAAATCTGAGATCCAACATTAATTCATGCCATAGAGGGTTAAGTGGATCACATTTTGCAATTAGGAACTATAAATTCCAACTCAGTTTAAAAGCAACGTAAGTACCATTAGCTTCCCTAGGCACATAAGAGCTTTTTCGGATGAGCCAGAAATTATAGTTCTTCATTGCAAAATGAAGTCCAACAAGTGGTGGATTGGATCCCTCACTGGGAGGTGTTCCAACCTTACTTACAATAATCAATCCTTTACCATGGCTCCAAATGGGAAAATATCGATAGCAGATGATTTGCGCCTCCATGAGTTGCGATTTGATCGGAGATGGTATCGTGAATTTATCTTCGTCGATTTATTTCAATATTAGCGGATAAACAATCACGAGAAAATGCGATTTCATCGCATAAATTTGCAATAAAATCGCGATTTGATTGCAAACTGCGACGGTAATTTATCGCAATATTATCGAACAAAATATCGTAAGAGATTGAAATTTATCGAACGCGATTGTATAGAGATGAAATTGCGACGAAATTGAGGATAATAGCTTAGATGTTTCCGATCCTTACGATTTTATCAAGAATCGCCTTTATTATAATTCATAGCTTTTAAAAACTGGTTTTGAGTGTGATACAGCAGATTTATATTGTTAGCGCATAGACATATTTAAATGATGATATCATTTGTAATGATGTATTACCGAAAATATTTTCGAGCTTATGTTAAATTTTTACCAGAAGCGTTTATCATTATGAAGTTTCATTTTACTCGAATACAGATAAAATCTCCAGATTCCCCGAAAAAGGTTAAAATAAAGACCTTTTTAGAGGCTCTTCCCGGCGGAAGGTTAAGTTGTAGGAAAGAAAACAAGTGAAAAGGAAGAGAGGGAAGGAAGAAAAGAGAGGTGATAGAAAAAGAGCGGGACAGACAAAATTGTTTAAGTGGCTAAAGATGTGAACCTGCGACCTAAGCCAGCCCATGGCTTTTCACAATGAATATTTGGTCTGAACCGTCTCTCCACGGATCAGAGTGATTTCGAAAAATTTCGATACATCTTGTACGACACATACATACACAGCCGCCACCCCCACCTCCCCCAAAAATCCACCCCTATATTTTAAAGTCCCCATGCCGAGTTAGGGTTGAATATAATAGCAGGATTGCTATAAACAGGGCCTAAAAACCATCCATTCTGGAATACCAAATTAAGTAGCGTACCTCAAAATCGTTGACGAAAAAATATTCCTCGTGCGAAGGACATGATCATCGCAATTGACAAAAAAAGATATTGTAAAAATTCCTCCCGATCTAAAATTTTGCAACGATGCATTTAACAACGTATAACTCCCTCGAATCCACCCAGCAACGATTCTTATTCTTCCCAGTATTTTCTCGGAGACTAATTTTTTTGCTTTGCATCGCAATGAGAGAAACGTGAGGGGTATAATTTCTATCAGCCAGCAAGTCCTCGCATTTTCATGATTGAATTTAAACTTTAGCACCTCTCCTTGCACGTAATTCACTCAGAATGAGAGAATCAGTTACACTACTCGTAATTCTCATCTTTCTATTACATCAAAAATGTCTTTCCATCTCCAAGTTATGTACCACCTTTTTTCCCATGAGAAACTGCGGTTCGGATCCCTTGGGGATTTATTATGCTGAGAAGATGACATTATCGTTGATGATTTGGTTGTGTTGTCTGTGTATGGAGAGTAACTACAGTAGCCTTGTAGACTCCACATTTCATCGGCTTCTCCACGAAAAAACGTAACTCCATTTCAATGTTGCCAAATTTCCCGTTTCAAATTGCATATTAACCAGGAGAATCTCGGACATTCCTAACTGTCAATTGGATGTATTTCTGTCAAACGGAACTATGTGCATTAAGACATGAGCCCTGAGACCCGTAAGAATATATGCATGACGGGGCTCACGTCATAATGCACATAGTTCTGTTTGATAGAAATACGTCCAATTCAACCGATTTTCCCTCAGATTTCATGCGAAAATCAGAAAAATTTCGGATAGAAATGGGCCAGGTACATTACATTAAAATAGTTTATCGTTTAAGTCAATTTGGCAATCTTGGAATAAAGTTACGATCCTTCGTGCGGGAGACGATGATTTCAGGTACTTTCATCAAACTCCCTCAACGTCTTCGTCCGTTTGATTTCAATGATCTCATAAAAATGGTTCCGCGTGCTTGGAGATTTTTTAATCAGTATATAATTGCGAGGGAAGACTTCAGTTGTACTATTGCGATTGGTCTTTCAAACCCAATTTGTTTTATCACTTTAAAGAAAGATTTCGTCCGAACAGACCAAACACATAGCGAAAAAAAGTGGCATTGAGGTTACATGATTGCGCCTACTATAGAATCAGAGAAGGAAGTGGGCGGAGCCGAAGTCAAAGGAGAAGAAACTTGCTCATGCTGTCGTGGAGTCATGGTGTTTTTCTTCGGGAGGGGAGAGACAAGACGACCATCTTTAAATATGGACGACCTGCACCCGAGCCGCGCCCTCCGAACTAAAGAAAGTCATGATGCCTATCATAATTTAACCCTCATGGATGCCTTGTCAATATTTCAAGTACCTGCTGCCGTTTAATAAAATCGAAATCAATCTCTTATTTTCGAAACACGATCTGCCCAGTTTTCACCAATTTACTCACGCATGCACTGCTAGAATAAAACATTCCGAGCTCAGTGGCGTGGCGTGCTTTAAGATACATCGATTGATCTGTCATTTAAACCTATGGAAAAAGATCGATTATCACGGTGTTCGCAACGAACACCTTGATAATCGATTATTTACCATAGCTTTAAATAAGGAAATATCGATAATCGATAATCACTCCTCGCCACTGTCCGAGCTTAATAAACACTGGGACGAGATCAATCCATAAGGTGAGTACTCTGCGAATACTTATAAGTAAATATTACTCCAAAATCCAGAAAATACGTTCATATATATTTGACAGTATTAATAACCATTTTTATTTCGATACGAAAAAATCTTGACGACATCACAAAAATTCGTTTTCAAAAGAGTGCAGTTAAAGTATTTATTGTGAAAATTATCCGACTCCCGTATTTTTAATATGCAAGTTAAAGATGCCCTCACGAATAACAATAATATTATGCTATCGATAAAACCAATTTGTGATTCTGAAGTATGATGGACGAAAGATTTGCCACTTTTCACATTTCAAATTTCTCCCGCTCATTATTCATGTGTGGTGAGTAACGAGTTGTGATACTTATCGAACTAATGCCGAGGCGTGAATTATCGATTATCGATATTTCCTCATTTTAGCTATGGTAAATAATCGATTATTAAGGTGTTCGTCGCGAACACCGTGTTTATCGATCTTTTTCCATAGGTTTAAATGGCAGATCAATCGATGTATCGCAAATCACGCCACGCCACTACATCGGACTCTCATTTCGACGGCGTAAGTCCGCAATCACGTATCTCCATCCTCCGTCTGAAAATCTCCACCTCTATGTTATTTTTTTATAGGAGAACAAATCGACATCATTCCTTGAAGTTTTTGCAGAATTTTCTTCGCACGGGGAAGAAAAATCACGGCAATTTTCCTTTTAAAAAATAAAGTATGACAGGAAGTCTGTGACGCGACGTCGTAAACCGAGTTTTGCCGGCGACTTACACCGTCAATTTGGATTTTTCTCGAATGAGCAGTCCGTTTCTGCTTAACGTATCATATTTCCTCGAAAATTTAAGGACAGGAGTGTAAGGAAACTTTTATAAACTGACAGCGGAAAAACACTCACCCGTCGCTGGAGAAGGTAGGAAAGAGTGGATGGGTGAACGATGTGATTGTAGGCGCAGGATCCTCATTAATATGTGACGGTGAATTGATTCTCGGTCCAGGATGTCGTGTCGACGACTCACTGCTGCTGGAACAAATGCACGCGTCAAAAACCCAATTGAAGGACTAGACATTTTTAATGGAGGCATTTTGAAATTTTATCAGAAGTATAATGCTCACGCATGGACAGTTTTCAGCGAGAGGAAGGTTTACACTGAGGTTTCTCTGAGAGAAAATATTATGCAAAAGTTTTGTTAATATCGAAAAAGGCTCACAAAGTCAATCAAGTCTGCGGATGGTTCGGGCATTTCTTAGTTTTTCCATAGCTTTCTGTGTTCCTTTCACCGCAAACTTTACCAAAATCTACAAAAATTTGGATGCCCTTGTGTTTCAATTTCTCAGCTCATTATGAATGAATACAGCTCATCGCGTATACGCTATTTAATCGCAATTTTAACATGCCATGCAAAAAATCGGATGAATAATAACGCCTTAGCTTGTTCTGCATACCTTGGTGAAAATGGACGCTCTGTCTCCGGGTCATTCTCTGTGGCACTGCAACTGGCAGGAGTCGAAGCTCTTCTTTGATTGTCTTCCTCGCCGCTACTTCCGGTGTCCTCTATTTCCTGCCGGGGAAAAAGTAAAATTGTTGAAACATATTAAAATATTTTCAGGAGTTAAAAAAATGAATTAGTGACGTGCAATTTTAATACTTAAAGGCATTATTTGGAAGAAAGGTCATGAGGTAAGAATGTTTTTTTTTCTTACGAGGAAATTAAATAAATGCAGATTTTCAAACGGTAAATTGATGAGACGTGATTTGATAAACGACCTATGCTGGTGATTAAACAACCTCTGGAAAGACTCCAAAATCCTACGTTACCTCCCACCTTACTTTCAAGTAATCCAACGTATGCACTCAGATATCATGCTTCGAAATATGTATGTTTTGCATCCATGAGACGCAGGTGGCATTAATAGAGAGCACAATATTCTCTTCCAATAACGCCAGGACGTCATTTTATGGAGCAATTTCCAAATGGCATCGGAAAACTTCGTAAAGGCCATTTTTAAAGCCGCGAGCAGTTGCACGGTAAGATGCTCCTGCGGACAGGCTGTGAATTAATTTGCTTTGAGGAAATTTACGTGTTTCTGTAAGTGTGCATTATTATTATTAAGTCTCTGACTATGCTACCGTGATAAGTAAGAACGCCGTATGAGCCACCAGGCGTTGCCAAATTTCTTTCGGAAAATCTCGAATTTTCAGGAAAATTTCTGAATATTACTTCTCCGATTTTTCAGAGGATTTCGTTCGTAATCTGATCTAAATAGTCTGAAAATGTCAGGGAATAATATTCATAACCTCCTCGTGAAATAAATATTTTCAAATAAGAAATTTGGCGACACTCGAATGCTCATACGGCGTTTTTACTCAGCACGGCAGTATGAGCCGCAATACTTTTGCCGGCTCCCGTTGCTTCGCTTGCGGCGGAAAACGCCCGGGAAGCAAAGAGTTGGGAGTTGTTTTGATTTATCGGTTTGAATACGAAAGTAAGTTGCCCGGAAAGTTGTCGCCAACTTAGCTCGACGCGAGGGAAGGGGGGTGGAGAGGACAATTGCAGAAGCAGCCGGAAGGAACGAAAAGACGGAGAGTATCGTCGGGAAATAGGAAAGGAATTTCAGAATACGATTTTAGGGTAATTAGTTTTCTCACAGTTGGAAATAGGAACTCGCGGATGAGGATGTCCCACCACAACAAATGAGCTCAGAGCTGAGGAGAGAGAGGGACAGAAAGCAGATGAAGCGAGAGAGACGTCTTATTGAAAATTATTGCAGTTTGGTTCGAGTGCCTCCGAAGGATATGAGTCCCCGGGTTTATCTTACTATTATCAAAATGTGTTTTGTAAATAAGACGCATCCAAAGCAAGTTAAGCGCCCCAGGTGTGTGTTGAGTTTGAAATTGATATTTATTACCCCCGCTTCGAGAGTTATGCGGGTAGGTAAATCTTTAAGACGTTGGATTTATGGTAAAGCGAGCTTTTGCCTAGATAAAGTTACCTTTTGCTCGCCATCACCACCGAAGCTTTAAGCTTAACCCTTAATTTCCATCCGACTCATTTATCACCTCACTTGGTATGTGGGGTGCGCCTCGAATTTTATGTTCGGCTCTGCAGCGTGCATATGCGCGCGAGGTGCTCAACTGATTGGAAAGAGGGCACAAGAGAACCTCTGTAATACACTTAAAACCTTTTTCTTCCCAAATTGTTTGATCTTCTATCGCCTTATTTACGCAGTAATTGGCCACTTCAATAATTTCACCGTGGGTTTTCTTTTTTTTTTTTTCAATCGTAAACTTATGACTGAAAAAATTACATAGACATTTACAGACTGCGTCTGTCTCTACAACTTTGTTTTTATCATTAAATAATCAAATAGGTATGATTATTGGTTTTACTAAGATTTTAAAATGCAGAAATATTTTACTGACTCTGTGAGGAGTAATTTAATGTTTTACTTCACAAGAGAAATCGAGAAAAAAAATTTCGAATTCTCGTGAAATTTAAGAAATCAGGAAAATCTTTAAGAACTGAATAATCCAATGTGATATCAACAACGACTACGTTTCACCATTATGGAAGAAAATTTGCCTGCAGTTTCAACAATGGCAAAGGGCACAAACGCAGATAATTATCTGCGTGTATTATATTGTGTGTATTTAAGTGAAGCGTGTCATTAAAGAACATCAGTGCTCTCTGAATACAAAAAGTTTCAAATAATTGCCAAAGCACGTATCTGAGTGATTCCTTAGAAAACCATGCAAATGATAATAGATAATCATTTTTTCCATTTAGTAAAGTATAGCCCATGACCTATCTTAATTGCCTTAAATCTAACTAACTCTGTTACGAGATTACGACACATACAACAAAAAATTATTGATCCTGATTAAGATGAGACCGGATGGTCGATCAGTGAATCAGATGGTTACGGCTTAGCTTTCATCGATTATGAATTTAACTGTACTCTACCTGTTGTTTTTATATTTGAAGTTTTAAAATTATTCTATGATCAGCATACGTTGAAACTAAGTTCCGTAAATTATTTTTTCTACTTAAGTTAATTAAAAATGGATCGTTGCAAACTTAGGTCATGCCCTCTTACAGTCTTAACTTTCATTGACTGATGGGTCGATGTAGGTATACACTTCTAAGTCACGAGCGAATCTCGAGATGTCTACTGCGCTACCAATTTGTTGTAGTGACTTTTTGCTCCGCCATTATTGCTCGCCTCAAAAGGTCTCCATAATTTATTAACATCCGATCGAATTTCAGCTGTCATCAATAATCACTCGTTACATGCTCCGTGGAGAATATTATATTCACGCTGAGCTTCCAATTTTGTCTAATGTTCTTATAGGTTTAGGGATCCACGTCGAAATTTAGAGCATCAATCTCGCGGTCTTACACATACTTGTGCCGAAAGGCACCCGCAAACTTAAGGTTGCGAAGACTCATCTTCAACACTTCCAATTTTACATGCAATTACAAACAAATATATACGAAAAGAAAATGTAGATCAGAGAGCAGGAGAATTTTTTCAACATGAATAATCCGGAAGACAGCACGAAGCCATAATATGATCTAGACTCAGCAAGTTCCTTAACATTCAAAACTATTGTACCTATAAATGCCAATCAAAATCTTTGAAAACTTCCGTTTCATCTGTTTTCTTGAGGACCGGACCCAAGTATATAGCGCTAGGGATTGTCGCACTAGTCATGGTAGCTGGCGACTACAATGGCTACTCGTAGCACGTTAAAATTACGACTTGAAAGTTTTTCGGTACCCAAATTTCAAGTGGACCACGTTCTGTAATGTACTATCAGTTTCCCTATGTACATAAAGTTTTTTATAGATGAGCCAGAAATGTTAGTCCTAACTGAAAAATTAAGTCCAATAGATTGAATGAATTGAAAATAAAAATATCCAAAATTTTGAATACATCGAAGGTAAAACCACCCTCTGCACCTACTCTAGGATCATCATCCATGCTTAGTTTGCCAACCGGTTAAACGATTTATTGACTAGGTACCTATTTGCTGGTCGAAAATGATTTCGTTTCATAGATACACAATATTGTAAATGCAATTGGTGCTGAGGTAACAACATCAATAAACATGCCTGGCTATCTTCATATTTCGAGTAGGGAAAATTCCACGACGGAGAAACGAGAGAAAGAGAGAGAGAGTGAGGGACGGTAAGACTTGGGACGTGAAAACGGGACTGGAACTTGTGTCTGCCGAGCATTAAAACTGATAGAGATAAAGTACATATAAACAGGGAAGACATGGAGTGAAATAAAAGGAGAGTTAATGTGGCGCGCAGTGAATGCATATTCGGGGTGGAGTATATTTCCAATTTCAATCTCAAATAGAATTCACTGCTCGAGCCAAGGGAAAAGGGGAACCTAGGGGATATCGTATTTCGTATTTCTCATTGCATCACACACTCGTATGAATGCGAGCGCGCTCCGCTTCCCTCGATTATTGCCCCATTTTGGTTAAAGTTTCCAGGAAATTCCCCCTCGCGAGCGAGCTTTCTTCCGAGGGGGGGTTTTCTCCCCCTCCGACCAACACTTTCCTCTTCTCGGCTTCCGCACTCTCCCGACGCCGCGCCGCACAGTGGATCGAGTCAATACGAGAGACCGGACAAAATTGGGAAACTTCAAACGCTTATAACTCCGTTTATACAAATTTTTGAGGTTCTAAAAGTGGTTCCATCGGTTTCCTCGTGAAATTTTCTTCCAGGAGCACCCCTTAAAATTTAAAATTTAATGCAATTAACATCCTAATTTGCTGTTTTAGTCAAAAATTTTACGTCCGACCACTCTGATTGACTCGATCCACTTTGCGCCGATTCAACACTGCCCTTCCCTCTCTCCTTCTCTATATTGTTTTCTAACGTTTCCGTAATAAAATAATCGTTAAAGACTTCAAAATCCTCCGCTCATGATAGCGCGATATCATACCCTCTCGGAAAAATCACTCGAGAATTGAACTAAAAGTGGCCATTAATATTTGATTTACCCGTTTCAATGCTCAAGTAGTTTCGAAAAGAATTACTTGAGTGGGATGAAATCCACCATTATTTGTTTAAAATTTCGGAGTCTTACAAAAGACCACAAGACAAGGTACAAGAATTTTAAATCTAAATGACATGTTTCCGTAACATTCAGGTGAAACACGATAAGCATACCGAAACTTTTTAAAATCAACTCATGATGGAGAAATTGACCTACCAACACCGTACCCAAACTTCTCGCCCGTAAAGAAACCGTAATCAACGATAGGTTCATCACAGATGTTACAAACTATATGCATGTTGGTCAAATAGCTGGAACTCGATTTCACGCCAATTTTTCTTCTCCTTCGGAACAATTATGGCGATTCTGAGGATCTTGCCCATAAAAAATAATCACAAAGGAAAATGTTTCCATCCTTCTTTTCAGCATACCAAAAGTACTTTTAGTGCTCAATTTGACTCGAGTAGATTATGGTTTTTAGGAGCGGGAAGTGTGTACTGACGTAAACAAAAAAAAACGCTTACTCAAGAGACAGATTTGAAAATTTTTCGTATTATTGTATCGTCAATCGTATTTAACATAAAATAATAACAGGAAACATTCATACATATTCAGGGGAAACTTTGAATATTTTGCCTTGATTTTTTCAGAAATTTTATTCGCGATCAGATCTAAATTATCTGAAAATTCCAAGAAAAAATATTTGTAACTCTCCTCAATTTGCTAATTTTTGAAAGGGAAATTTAGCGACTCCTGAAAGTTCATACGGCGTTTTTTCGTAGCACGACAGCACAGCCCTCATAAACGACACTGATAATTAATTGTCTCCGACGCAAAGTTTGATTAAAGCTAGCGTTGTACAACTCCAAACAGACCTTGTGACTCAGGAATTCGCAAATACTTACAAGGTATAGACTGATTCGTAAATATGACTGTGATCATTCTATAGAACGTAGTTTTTCATTCTCTCCGCGTATCACTTATCTACTCCTTCACTAATATAATAATGTAAACGTCAAATGATTTATAATGCAGGAGTGATGTTGGATTTTCTTACCTTTGGTACTGGGGAGGATGGATCATGTTTCACCGTGTCGACTATTCCTCTATCTTGCTCCTCCCTCTTTCGTTGCTCCTCTTTCAGCCTCTCTGCTTTCCGCCATTTTGCTCTCCTATTTTGGAACCAAACCTATTCAACACCCAAAAAAATCAAAATTTTAGTTACTTCCAATGTCAAACGCTATTTGGACGTATTTCTATCAACAGAACTATGTGCAGGTGAGAAACATGGGGTGTGCTGTAGGAAGCTGCACAAGAAACAATGTAAAAGTGGGCGTGATTCCTTTTGAAGAACTGGAAAAGCAGGATTTTAAATTCAGCAAACAGAACTATGTGCTAACTGAATGCGAGATATATGAGTCGCAGGTATGACACGAGAGCGTTGTGGACAGGGCTCATGAGTTAAAGCGCCCTACGAGGAGCCGCGTCCATTTCCGTTGACGTCACTGGCGCTAAATTATTCTCATTCACTCTTACGGCCAGAGAACTGACGAGCACACCCCATACTTCTCACCTCCACATAAATCTGTTGGATAGAAATACGTCCATTTATAATTCGAAATTTGAATGAACAATGAAAACGGTAAAGGTTTAAACGACAAAAGTGTCCCCTATACCTCATTAGCTTTTTTCACAAAGGGTCACAAAGCTCGTCTACTTACATTAGCTTTTTATGAGAGCGCGGGAATAAGGTGCTCGGTGGACAAAACTTAAGAATCAGGCTCGGCGTATAAGCAACGCGGCTAAGTCAACTTTAACAGCGTGAGTCGCTAATGACCTCGTTAGAGGATGATTTCTCACTCTCTGAGTGAGGCCCTAATCAGGGCGAATGTTCATCATACGGCAAAGAGCAAACGAATGAAACACAAAGTTTTAATTAATACAATACGGCAAAAGCCAAGCACCGCGTCGAGTTAGAAGTCCCTTTGGAGCGTTTCTTCAAAGGTCCTCCTTAAAATTCCGCTCCCCGAGCACCTTTGCATGGTGCAAGAGAGTAAAAAATCAACCCTTTAGCTAGATATCTGGATGTGCTATCGCCGTATGACAACACGATATGTGTCATTTAATTTTGAATAAAATGCAATTAGAGTAAAAATGTAGAGACGTTAGAAAGAAATTACATTATTACAGATTTCCATCGCGTTCAACCATCCGCATAGTCAAGTAATTTAGTTACAGGGTGTGATTTAACTTGATAATTATACCGAGAATCTTCTGACTTTGAAAAAAGGGACACAATCTTTTTGACACATAATCCAACGATTAACGCGCCTCGCACCATTTTTTGATTGCTTTGGATTTAATTCTTTATCATCATTCGATAATGGTTTATTGGCGTTTTTATACTATATTTTCAATACACTAAATTGTTACTTCGAAGGTAATGAGGAGGATTCAAATGGAATCAAAGTGACGTAAAACAAGATACGCATGTCTCGTCGCCTCTCTATCAACTAAAAATATCATCGGAGTAAGAAATTGTACACTCTTGTGCGAGTTCGATTTTAGTTTTTCCTTTTTCATAATCACGGTAACCACAGTCAAGGAATGCCGGGAAAACCGGGAACTGTCAGGGAATTTTAAAAACTTAGGAGAAATCTGAAAATGTCAGGGAAAAATTGATAAGCACCTTCATTTGTTTTCTAGAGGGAGTTTGACGTTCCGAGCAACAATTTTTGCCCCAAAACTATTTCCAATTATGTGTTTTTAGTCATCTGGCATATCTTCAGTTGTCAGGGAATTTCACCAAAATGTGTCAGGGAAATCAAGAATTTCATTTTCTAGATTTTGTGGCAATCCTGGCAATGATTCCCCCAAGAGTTCGGCAATTTTCGGTACTCTAGGCGGCAACACGGTGGCTGCGAGGTTAGGAAGCGGAATCAGAGTGGGCAGTTTCGGATCCGCCGTGAAAAAACAACTTTTTAAAGGAGCACCGAGGAGAAGGCAAGTAAAATGAAAAGCTCGCCTTTCCCCTCAATTCCGTCGTAATCTGACAGTTAATAGACCCTGAGCGAGTGTCAATAATTTGCCGGCTAGCCCAACCCTCCGCGAGGGAGGACCGCTCAAGGGGTTTTCCTCCTAAAGAATGGGATTTAAAATTCAACCGCAGAAGGGTAGAGTTAAAGGATCGTTCAATTCATTCTTTACTCTCCTGTAACAACTTTATAACATGCAGGAGCTGCCTCTTCCCCGTCTCTCAAGTTATTAGATCAGTTTCCCTCCCCCGCCCATCCCTAACCTATATTACCCCTCTGGTCGTCCGACCCCACTCCCGGTGGCTTGGCTCTTTGTCCAATTTGGGATCCAATGTGATTTATGATTTTTATATCACCACTTTCTTAATCTTGTTCAGCCTCAGGCTTCAGCATAATCCTGCTTAATTTTCAGCTTCATCGCATATGAGTAGGCGCCTTAGTTACGTCTCTCCTCGTGTGTGGCTCCTCTAGAGGAGGATCCAGCAATTTGGCAACGACGGATTGCCTACATATAAACCTATGTTAAATTATCGATTCTCGTCGGAGCACCTGGCCCCTCCAAGAATCGATACATTTCCATTGGTTTGAATGGAGAAAAACAGTGTTGCAAATTTGCTGGATCCGCCAATGGGCTCCTCTTTTTCAAGTTTGTATTTCAAAAATTTGACTTGAAAGTTTGTCATCGAAGGAATTCAATCTATTTCTTTGTCATTATCAGCGTTACCGGTGGCGAGGCGTGAATGACGGCTTATCGATTTTCCCCCATTTGAAGCTGTGGTAAAGAATCGATTATCAAGGTGTTCGTCGCGAACACCCTATTTATCGAGCCCATTTCTATATTTTTAAATGTTAGATCAATCGAAATATCTCGAAGCACGAAGCCACGCCACTGAATTTTCCTCTATACAACGGGTCACTTTCATGGGCGTGTGCTCCATTTTCACAAGATCTTCTCTCTTCTCTTTATTAATTTCTTGCCTCACAGCCAAAACTGAAAATAAGTAAAGACTGAAGATCACAGAGAGTTCTTCATTCAAATCTTTGAAAGCTGATTTGACTCAAAGAAACGCAATAAATAATTATCTCATGTGTAAATTGTGTTTGAATAAAATGCAGACTAAGAATTTATTCCCGTTAAGTACATATAAACTTTAACTTCATTTTAGAAAAGTGTGCATGCGTTTACAGGAACACGATACGAATAAGCGGAGAGAAACCCTCCAACAACACATAAGGTAACGAAAAAATTCCGTTATTCCGATTCAGCTTCGTTGCGAGAGGTTAAAAGCTCGTAAGTCAAGTTAAGGCTCCTGAGGGATTCGACCCGGACCCTCTCCTCCATGTCAAATGTTAATATCAATATACTAAATAAATATCTGTCAATTCTCTCTGCTCCCCGCATTCTTCCTTATCATTTTCACATTTCACTCAAAAAATATTCAGTATTCGAACCTCCCAATACCAGTGGCGTGGCGTGCTTTGCGATAAATCGATTGTTATGCCATTTAAACCTATGGAAAAGGATCGATAAACAGGGTGTTGGCAGCGAACGCCTTAATAATCGATTCTTTACCATAGGTTTAAATGGCATAACAAGCGATACATCGCAGTTCACGCCACGCTATTGCCCAATACGCGCGTGTTGTTTTAGGTACTGTAATCTCCGTTCCTGCGACTAGTTCGACAAGCACGCTCTCCACTCTCCGTAATGAGAAATCCCCTGAGGTTCTTTCCGTCGGAGGTCAATTTTAGACATCAAAATTATTAAAATTTAACAAAATTTACTTCTTTAGCCTGTGGAAAATATTTGCTCTCGTAATGCTTCCGGGACTTTACGTCCACCTACCTTTCGTCCATTAAATAAATGTCCACCGCTATTAATGTCCACTAAACGTTAGTCCAGTCTTTTTTAAGTCCACATGATTTTATGTACAACTATGAATATGTCCAAAATTCTCCAAATTGTGAACGTGTTATGTCCACATTTTTTTCTTCTCATTTAAATGACAGGAACCACCTCAAAAATAAACGCATACTACTACTACCTTTCATTCTTAAAAACATTTCATTCATGAATCAAGTCATGAAAGAGAACAGACTCTAAGAGCAGATAAAAACATATGTTCATGTGTACACTGTACGGATATGATAAGATGAAAACCAAAGCGGGAGCCTAGGAAACGCTCCAATGCCAAATTAAACATTTTTCAGTATCAGATGCAGTCAAAATTGAAAGTCCTCTTTAACTAGTTATTTCGTGCGCCTTCAATCTTGTAGGATACTGTGCAACGCCTCTGACGCGAAATAGTTGCTTAAAGCGTTGCGGCGCGGCAGGCAACCAGCGTGACATGCGCATAGGCGCCTACAAACCTAACGGGATACTTCACGCGTTGCGCAATGCGTGAAGTATCCCGTTAGGTTTGTAGGCGCCAGTGCGCGTTCTGCGCTGCTAACACGCCGCTCCGCTCTGTGTTAGGCTCTAATATTTAAAGTCGCGGAGTCAGCGTTTTTCAACTCATGATTTTGAAATGTTTGCACTCTCTGCATTGAATATTCCCTTTTAAACTGATGAAAAAGAAATATGTGCTACTGGAAAATATAATGTGTTTTTTTGTAGATATGATAGAGGTTCCGTGTCAAATTTAATGATTTCCAAAGCATTCAAATTTATTCTTTTATGTTTTGGGCTTTTACTGTGCTGCAGCGTGGTGTAAGCACAACTATACGCTCAAAATTGGACGTATTTGATTCGAGGAGGTCGATGTACAAATAAGTAAAAACAAAAAATTGCGTGCTTCTTAGTTTTTTTCCTCTTTTATTAATTTTTGTATAGTTTCTTTCATCACAACTCAGGCTCATTAAGAATCATATCGATGCCATTGCTTGGAAAAAGTTTTACAAATATTTACCACGTTTTAAAAAGTTTCTCATCTCGATATTGTCAATATAATTTTACACACGGACTAAAATATAACGCTTGAATTTGATTTTAGTGAACTTTACATTTGTGGACGTAACTTAGTGGACGTTTAAGTAATGGACTTAACAATAGTGTGGGCTATAGAACTGTGGACGTAAAAATTGTGGACGAAAAGTCTGTGGACGTAAAAAAAGTGGACATAAAGTCCGTGTACCCTTGTAATATGTTGAGGAG